ATCTATCTATCTATCTATCTATCTATCTATCTATCTATCTATCTATCATCTCTCTCTCTCTCACACACACACACACACAGACCTATCTATCATCTCTCTCTACCCCTCTCCCTCCCTATTTCCTAGCCAGCTTTGAATGAGTTTTGGATAGCACAGTTATATGTGGTATGTCTGCCATAACAACACTCTTGCAATAAAGATTGGGTAGAAATGACTATGCCACCCATTTTGAAAGATGGCTCTGTATGGATTGGAATCCAAGTTTCCCAGGTTAACAATTGACGCTCTATTCATTATACCACACAGACTTCCAGGACTATCATAATAGGGACAGCTGGCAATCCCAATTGCTGTGCACTTATGGCACTAGATAAATAATGAAAGCAATGGCTGCCACCTCTACAGAGCTGCTGAATCAATATGCAGCCACTGGAGGTTTTACTCAAACCAATCCATTGCTTCCATCTTTTGGCAAGTATTTATTTTCTGGTTGTGTAACCTATAGAATCAAACTTTACAGAAATGAGTTTCTCTTTCTTGAACAGCTTGACTGCTCTTTTTTCTCCCTCCTGCTGAAAGAAGTACTTGGCTTCTATTTGGTCTGCCTTTATTTTATACTGAACACCCTGGGGGCACAAAGGGGCATAAATCAGTCACAGTAAAGGAAAGGTTATGAATATGAATCAGGCAGAAGGCGCTGGTGGTTTCATGCATTCCAGAGTTTCTCTTCTGAGCGAAGAAAATCCATAGAGGATAGCTTTAAGTATTATTATTATTTTCTTCTAGTGGAGAGAGAGAGAGAAAAGGAAAAAGAGAGTCCAGCACACAGTTCCCCTTCCTAAAGTATTCTTTGTAAAAATAATTATATTTACCAAACAGAAGATTACCCTGTATGTATTTACACTGAACAAGAATAAATATAATTTAATAAACAGAAGGTACATTAGAGCACCCTGTGTTAGTTCTTGGCTCTCAGAAAATCAGCATCCTACATTCTAATCAATTGCAATATGCTACATCTAAGTTTGATTGAGAGTTTACAGGAAGATAGTATTCTGATTTTTTTTTATTAGAATAATAAAAAAGCAAAGTTTATCTGCCACAGAGATAGCAAATGGCTCTTAACAGTGGATGTCTTGGAGAACAAAGGAAGTGAGAGAATACCTATATGTTTGAGAGACAACTTTGATTTTATGTTGATATAAAATATTAAAACATGCCTGTCATTATTAGATACGTTTTCATTAGAGTTGATATCCAGATGATCTCTAGGGCCAATGGGTTGTTTGCAAGTGATCCTGGAATGGCTATAGGATTCGGTTTTTAGCTTCGATTGGTAGCTTTAACAAAGGCGCTCACATGGTATGCTTAGTAAAAAGCTAATTACTCTAATTGCTTCAGGCCATCGATTCTAAGCAGGCACCCAGCAATGCCCAGCAGATCTGGAGCTAACAATGGTTAGTGTTTCATGTACATAATTTGCCATGTAAGTCTAAATAACATTTTATAAACATACTTTGCCTAAGGTTGCAAATGATGCTACACAGTTTCTTAACTACAGTTATTAAAATCTAAAAGTGAAATACCATTCATGCATCATCACCAAATCTCCAGAACCATAAAGCCTACAAACTTGAAATTTGGCCCGTATGCTCCTCTTGGCTTCTAGGTGCTCACTAAGAAAGGTTTTTTCGAAATGACCATCAGAGCATTAGTATTTTGTATATTATTATTAACATGCTCTGGTGTTAAGGAGTTCTACTCCCCCTCCCCACCTGAAAAGAAATCTGTTCCAAGTGCAAAACACAAGAAGAGGAGAGGAGTTTCAGTTTTAGTTTCACAGCACCAAGCAGCTTTAGTACAGAACAGTTGAGCTAAGCCATGCCCAGGCTCCTTGCTGTCCCCTTCTTGCTCACACAGCAAATACTGTTTCAGTTTCCATGTTTCAGTCTCCAAACAGCCCTCAACTGTCTCACACACTGACAGGATGCTAGCCAGATGAATATTGATGGATGCTGGTAGGCAGAGGCAGAATTTTCCCCCCTTATTTTCCTCCCCCCCCCAAACTAAGCCTGATCACATAGTTTCATAGTGAAGCACGGGTACAGAGCTAGTAATAGATAAAGATAAAAGATAGGGAAGATCATAGAAATACAAGAAGCTGCTGGGCACTGAATCAGAATTTTGACTGAGAATTGTCAACTGTGACTCAGGGTGCAGTGTAGCATAAAAATCTTCCTCAATTCTGCTTGGAGATGTACAGAATTGACCCAGGGCCCCAAGAATAATGGGTAAGCTCTGTGGATTTCTAGCCATGATATAGCAAACGAGTACTATTATATACTGCTGAAAAAAAATGTTTCTGCAATATTTTTTTTTGAATTTTTAAAAATTTACTGTGGGAGAATAATAACTATAACATTTGAATTCCCTGGTTGCACAACTAGGGCTTAGTCTACATGAAAAAATATCCCCAAGATTAGGGTTGTAATGTACAATGTATTTAAATGCCTCCATGAGTTACCATCTCTGTTGCTTTAAACAAAGGCAGCTTCCTCTCTGTTGGCAGATTCTACATGCCCATTCTACATACCTATGCAACTGGTTATGGCACAAATAACTTCCTAACATTCTGGGGAATGGAGCTTTATCACAAAATCAAAGGAATAATCAGGTTGTCAAACAGATCTGGTCTCTGTAATAACAAATACTGAAAAAAATGGTTGTAGTTTCTGAGTCACTACTGCCAAAAACTATAAGGAAGAACATTGTACCCTGGAGTTTCAAAGTACAGTATCTTATTTATGTCAAATACCAAAGTGCCAGGTGAAACTTCATTGATAT